TGTATTTGTAATTGAATAAATTAAAATACTATGGTTAATAATTCATTTTAAATGTTTAAATTATATATTTGTAATGAAAATCATACTTCTTAATAATATAAGTTTTTTTATATTTTTTAAATTCACTTTTTACAATTTTTAACTTTGAAAATGTCGAGTTGAAGACTTTAATAAAATCAAAATAAAAAGTAAAAACTAATTACTTTAAAATTTATGAGTAACTTAAGTCTATAAATATATATTAGATATATATTAATTAGATGACCCTATCAAAACACACTAGACAAATATAGCAAAAAAATATTATATGAGTCTAATAATATACATAATAGACGAGTATAAAAAAATCATTAGATGAGTCTAGTAATACATAATAAAGGATTTTGCTCATATATTAATTAGACAAGTTTATAAAAAAGAGACATTGGATGAGGTATTCCATGTGGTTATTAAACAAGTCTAAGCATACACTAATTAGATTAGTATAAAAAAAATATTAAACGTGATGTACTAATTAGGTAAGCTTAACCATAAGCACCAGTTGAGTTTGTTCATACAATTACTAAACAAGCACAACAACAAATATTAGATTTATCATTTCACACATTGATTAAACATATATAAGAATACCCATTAGATGAATCTATCTATAAGTTAATTAAACAAGTCTAGCAACAGATGTTAGACGAGTTTGTTTATACACTGATAAGGCAATTCTAACAATATACATTACACAAGTATGTCTACCCACGTACAAATTACATGAGTGTTAAACAAGTTTGTAATTCATTGGTGAAACAAATTTTGCAATACACATTAAATGAGTATACACGTCCATTGATTGGATGATTATGTTCATACAATAATTAAAGGACTTTAGCAACAAACACAAGACGAATATGTTTATACACTAATTAGACAAATATAACATTATACATTATACAAGTTTGTTATATATATTAGACGAGTATTACAATACACATCACGCGAGTCTGAATATACACTGATTAAGTGAACATTACACATTATACTAGTGTATCTGTTACCAAGGAGGAACATTGGTGTCTTGAAGATATTATGGTTTTGATGATACTATAAGATGAAGAACGTGAAGACTTTTGTTGTATTTATTTAAAAACATTATATATAACTAATTGCATAGGAATTACTTTGTTGATGTAAGAACTCTAAGAAATTTTCATGTTTAGAGAGTCTTTGCGCAGATAATGGATTATTTGGTATAATAATCGATTATCACGAGCCTATTTGGAAAAGAATTGTTCGCGCAAATAATCGATTATTGCTCAGAATAATCGATTATCACTGCCTGATTTAATATTGCCCAGGTTGCGCAAATAATCGATTATCACTCAAGATAATTGATTATCACTTTTTGAAAACCCCATAACGGACACAGATAATCGATTATCCATTATGATAATATATTATATTTGGTAGTTGGGGGTTGTCTTTTCATTTTCTGAATCTTGGGTTATAAATTGTGTTTTCCACAACTCTTAGAATGTAACTTTTCATTTTAGAGTATTAGAACTGTGTTCCTAAGAGTGTTCCTAAGGGAAGCTCTCTGTGAATCAAAAGGGTTCTATGCCAGTTGAGAATACAAAGATTTTCTGAGGAAGTTCTCAAGTGATAGTGTGCTATTGTCAAGTCTTATGAATAGGAGAAGCTCGCGCTTAGTGTGTCTAAGGTCGGAGCAGTTCTCTTCAAGTTGGCTGAGCAGTTTTCTTCCGGTTCGTTTGTCGAAGGAAGGTTCTTCCATTCGTTTGTCGAAGAAAGATGTTTTCTGTTCTTACTCTTTATTCCATATTATTGTAATCTGTGAAACAATATTTTAGTGATGAGGTTAATCACTATTTAAAGTGATTAACGATTGAACGTATAATCTTTAGATTTGAACCAGGATAAAATTTATGTGTTGATTTTCTCCTCCCTACACTCTTTAAACTTTTAGCACACCAACGGTTTGATAAAAGTTTTATAAGAAAATTAAAATTGCTAAAGGAACCATTTTATTGACCGTAACACGTTTTCCGCTCTTTAACAATTACTCTTACTATGCTGCGCAACTCACTGATACCTACAGTATCCATATACTAATTAAACAACTAGCAATACATATCATATGAGTTTTTCGATCTATTGATAAAGTGAGTTTAACAATACACATTAGAGATAGTATTTTCATACAATGATTAGAAGGATATATCAACAAATTTGCATGAGATTATTCATATAATAACAATTAAATACATGTAGATCCTTTATATATTTCATTGTGGAAATAATAAAAAAAAATGACTTAAAAGGGAGAAAGTTTATGTAATCGAATATTGAGACATACACAAATCTAGTCCTAATATATACAACATATTTTGCACATAAATCAATAACATGTCAGTCATTCCATAACAATTATCAACATTAACAAATTTTCCATAACTTATTAACTACTCTTATGCAAATATCTATACTATATATTTTAGTCTCATAAACAAATAATTAACTACTCAATTCAAACAATTCAATATAATAATAAATCAAAAAGCAAGTCTAAAACTTATATAAACCTTATACATATCCACCAACATCCTTCCACCTATATAAAATTAATGTTATTGTAATATATCCACTTGTATTTAACTAAACCCATTCATCATTCTACTCAATATCAATAAAAATAAATTATGCAACACTAGTAACAATTATCTATTACCATCACCATTATACTCATTTATCAATTAAAATAAATTAATACAACACTAACCATAATAAACTTAGTGCAATTTATTTGTTCCCTTATATAAGCAAACTATAATACAAATCTTCACTTTTTTTTCCTTATCTGTCTTTGCAATATGAACAAAACATATACTACGTTGCAATTCAAAAACTCAAGTCTATAAAAAAAAATTTAAAATAGTAATTTAGTGTCTATTTTTGTTTGATTTTCTCAATTCAATTATAATATATATTTTTTGTTTAATAAGATTTCAATTTTTAATAAATTTGTTTAATTTAGTCCATTTTACTAATGTTGTTTGAATAATTAACTATTAATGTATTCCATATGTCAGCTTGTAATTTTTAAAATTTTCTGTTATAAATTTTAATATATTTTTTAATTTAAAAAATTTCACATATCAAGTGAAATATCATGTCACGTGACAATAACAATGTTGTATGTCAAGTCCAGTGACATATGTTAATGTTAATGTCACATGTTAATGTTAATGTCACATGTTACATGTTAGTGTCACATGTTTTATATTTAATTTGGTTTTCGTATTAGTTATTTTTATTCATTTTAGTTACACTTTTTTATATATATAACATTTTTTTCCTTTTTAAATTGAGAAAATTTTTATTTTTTATATAAATATTAGATTGATTTTTAGGTTTAACTGTTTAATTGATTTTTAACTGTTTGATTTATTTTTAACATAAAAATCACATAAAATATTAAATAATTTAATTAATTTTTAGCCTAAAACTCACATGAAGTTTAAATAGTTTGTGATTTTTAACATCTTAATATTTCAAACTAATGGTGTTAGCCTACACTTTTAAAATTTTTATTCTAATTTTAAAATAATTCTAACTCTAAATTATAAATACTTAATAAAAATGTAAATGATTTTTGATATAGTGGTATTTTGTGTTAGATTTGTTGAGAGAAAACATAAAAGAAATTTGTCATCAATAAGATGCGAGAAATGAAAATAAATCACATAAAGTATTAAATTATTTAATTGATCTTTAACCTAAAAATAACGTAAAGTATTAAATAGTTTATTTATTTTTTAACATATTAAAACTTTAAACCAATGGTTTTAATTTCCACTTCTAAAATTTTCATTATAATTTCAGTCTAACTCTAATCCTAAATTATAAATATGTAATAAAAATGTAAATGGTTTTGAGATAATAGTATTTTGTGTTAAATTTGTTTAGAAAAGACATAATAAATTCTACAAATAAGATGTGAAAAATCAAAATATAACTTTAACTCAAGATTATAATTTGGTTTAATTTTTTAAAAGCAAAAAATTGTTCTATTTTTTTTTTAATTTGNAAATCCTTTTAAAAAAGTATAAATATTAAGAGTCATCTATCGAAATGATACTAAACCATAATGAGAATAAAAGAAAAATGAAAAAGAATTCATATTATTTATAACCTAAATTAATTAAATTTAATAAATAATAAGACAGTACAGTTCAATTTACTTTATTTTTCTGCTTACCAAGCATAACCTACAATTATGGCTTTTTAGGAAAGCATGTTACAATTAACACAATAAAAGCAAAAGTAAAACTTGATGCTTTACATGTAACTCTTTAAATGGTTTAATCTTTTTATTGTTTCATATAATTTTTGAATGTATATAACTTTCTTGTATTAATTTTTTTCATGTAACAAAATTACAAAAATAATTTACCATTTTTTTTTGGACTCGTTTATCCTAGAAGCATTAAAGTATAAAAATTACCTACATTATTTTAAATATTTCTTTCAACATTAATTTTATTATTTACATATTTAATTACATATGATACAACTAAATTCTTTTAGCACATACGATTCTGGCCATCAAATAAAGTAGTTTATTTCTAAAATAAAATGGAGAGTCAATTAAATTAAAATCTAAAACAGTTATATTATAGATCTACAAAGAGTGAAAATTTCCGCCAGGAGATAGTATTTTTTTTAATTTAGAATCTGCAGGAATCTGATTCCTTAATATAAAACATTTCCGAATACGTAGAAATACTATAAAAAAAATAATTTAGTAAAATAAGTAAATATAATATTCAGTTACCAGCATTGAGATAATCGATTGACGAATTTCGAAACGCAATCTCACCCTCTCTCCAAATGGAGCCAAATTTTAACCTAACTTGTTATCCAAGTCCAAATCAAATGGCAATTATTCCTGTATTAGTGTTATTCTTTTTCATGGTAATCGCCAAAAAAATAAATAAAAAGACGAACGAGAGAAAAGAACCTTTCATCACTGTGTTGTATAAAAAGTTGTTGATAGCAGTGGCTTTTTCTCTCCTTGGAATCTTTATTCTTCTTCTTCTTTTTCTTTTCTTTTCATTCACCCAAACCCTAAATAAGATTCGTAACTGCAAAACCAAAACCAAAACCCTAAAGGAATGGCCCTATCCCGTGGATCCATCCTCACTCGATCAGTGTGGTCCTCTAATTTGGAATCGGAATTCGAGTTAATCCGATCCGTCATAGACTCCTTCCCTCTGATATCGATGGACACCGAGTTCCCGGGTGTTGTCGTGCGCCCCGACACCGGCGACCCCTCCTTTCGCCACCGCGAACCAGCCGCGCACTACGCCGTGCTTAAAGCCAACGTCGACCGCCTCCACCTGATCCAGATCGGTCTCACTCTCTCCGATCAACTGGGAAACCTTCCGACACTCGGCACCTCCAATGGCTTCGTCTGGGAGTTCAACTTCCGAGACTTCGACGTCTCGCGTGACGCCCATGCTCACGACTCCGTCGAGTTGTTACGGCGTCAAGGCATCGATTTTGAGAAGAATCGGGAGTTTGGAATCGACTCGGTCCGGTTCGCCGAGCTTATGATGTCCTCTGGTCTGGTCTGCGATGACCCAGTTAGCTGGGTGACGTTTCACAGTGCCTATGATTTCGGGTACCTCGTGAAATTGTTGACCCAGCGCGCTCTGCCGGAGGAATTGGCAGAATTTCTCCGTCTGGTGAGGGTGTTTTTCGGTGACAGAGTCTTTGATGTGAAGCACTTGATGAAGTTCTGCTCAAATCTTCATGGAGGTTTGGACCGAGTATGCCAATCGCTGAATGTGGAAAGAGTTGTGGGGAAAAGCCACCAGGCTGGTTCCGATAGCTTGCTCACTCTGCACGCTTTTCAGAATATAAGAGAGGTTTATTTTGGCAAGGCTGATGGTCTTGTTCAGTATGCTGGTGTCTTGTATGGTTTGGAGGTTTTCTAATTTTCTCGTATGAAATAATATATCAGCTTGGTGTAGGTTTCTTTTTCATCGTTAGTTGTAAAGCATACACATTATGGTTTATCAATGTCATTAGGAGTTATTAATTTTTTTTTGGGTTCTGTTTCACCTGCATGTGACAGATATTAGGAGGAGGCAACGCATTGTTGATTGAGTGTGTTAACATATAGAGTTAGAGTATGGTCTTTGGTTAGGTAATATTCACAAGTCTAAATTTCTGAATGGAGTGATAATTTTGCATCTCCCGCCTTATCTGTTTTCTGCTGATAGTAAGTGGTTTTAATATTTACTCGGAATGTTTGTGTTCAAAGTGTGCTTGGTTATTGTTCATTGATTCAGATGCAAAGTGTCAATCATGAGGCTGTCATTCTTATCAAGAGGTAAAGATAAGGGATACACCCCTCATGGTTTCCTCCAATTTTTAAGACTCTTTTACCATTCGAATGATTTATTTCATTGGGTTGCAGAAGAGTATATAATGAATGGTAGGTTGCAAATGAATATGTACTGTTTGTATATTTTTTGTTCTTGTTTCCTGTGTTATATCTTTCATCCTAAGGGTATGAAAGTATTTTCTCTCTCACACACTCGCACTGGCGTTTACTTGGTTGAAATGGAGCTAGAATAGTTTTTTTACATAATAAAGGAAATTGTAGGATATTGCATAAGTTGTTTGAGTTCGTGTGGAGAAGAATATTAGTAATTTCAACAAAAGATTACATCAAATATAGGGTGAGATTGTTGGCAAAAGAGGGAGGGGGGAAGAGGGAGAGGTCTTTATCAACTTTTGTTTTTTGGTTATGGAGGCTTAGCAAAACCCCTCATATAATTTTTGCTCTCCTCTCTTGGTGGTGGGAATTGGTCGGAGGGTCATTTAAATATTTCAATTGGAAATGACTAAAACATTTCTACATATGTTTTGAAATTTAAAATTGTAAGATAGCAAAGTATATTGATTTTAAAGTCCCTCTGCATCCATTGTTACCAAAAAAAGAAGTTACTTCCCCTCCCCTTCATTAAACTACCTCCTCTTCCTTGATCTCAATCAAACATATTTTCTAATCAAAATCACTCTCCTACCTTCCCCTTCCCTACCTTTCCCCCTCCTCCATTAAAATCCCTCCCTTCTCCATTCCTGCTGCGAACCAAACTGCCCCTAAAGGCAAAAGAGGACGGAGAAAACTAAGGTGAAACAGTCAAGGCTTAAAGACAAGTATTTTATCTGTAAACATGATTTACAACTACATATTATGGAATTGTTTGAACCATGTGGTCCGCTCCATTTACTGAAAAAGGCTTGGTGGTGGTGGTTGTTCGAATTGCATGCATTTATATTAAGTACTGAAAGGTGGTAGTCAATGTGAGACGTAAACTAAGATGACTATGGCCCTTGATATTATTGGGATGTTGGGTTGTTGAAAATTAATGTTTTGGATAACATATTTACTCTTTCTTGTAGGTCTTTGGGAATTGGAATTTATGATATTTGTTAGTTAGTTAGAGGTTTAAGTTGGATAACTTAGAGAATGTAAGGGAGAAGGAGGCATTCTATTTTTCTATCAGTGTAGAGTGAGATTTTGTAATCTGGGAATGAGGGAATCCATTTGAAGGGGAAAAAGTTCATTGGGAGAGGAGTCCTTTATTGTATTGTATTTAATTTCACTCAATAAAACAGTATTTTGACTTGTAACAATTGTCCAACCTGCTGGTTCCAAATTTGGGGTAGAACGAAAGTCATCCAAGGATGGAGGATATGGAGCTGGGAATCAACAGCCTTTGTATGGAATTTCTCAAGAAGGGGACCAGGAAACGTAGTTGTCAGCTCTCAGTAAGCAAGATGTTAGATGGAATTCAAAAGATCAAACAAATGCTACAACAGTTGAAGAAACAAAGCATTATTGTTGGGTCAGGAGAAGAGGACAGATACCCAGATAATTAGAGTTGACTTTGCAGCTAATGGGGTTTATGAACCTGACAACATAAAAAAGGATCTTAAGAAAAGGTGGTCGCAAAGGGTTTAAGGATGAATGTAGTAGAACATCGAGTCAGAAGAGAACAAGTACCCAGCTGATTAGACTTGACTTTGCCGCTCCAGGAAAGGATTTCAAAGAAATGCTTGTGAAACTAAGAACATAAAGAAGGACCTTGAGAAAAGGTCATCACAAAGGGTTTAGGGAGATGTCGTAGAACACCAAGACTGTTACTTTTTGCAAAAAGAAGATTCTGTTACCCAATCCCAATAGTGGTTCAGATAAAATGAAGTTCTTGTACAAAGATTCCTGTTTTTATTCACGGATGGTTGAATTGCTCAATTTCAATGTTAATGATAATTTGTAATATGAACTGCTGGATTCTTATGGTGAACCTGCCAGAGGAGGTATTAGAACAATCCAATACACTGATAAGTATGGCCAAATTTTAGTGATGGTCAAGGTTGAGAACGGGGATCAAATAGAAAAGGTGGAAAGCTAGGTTGAAGGGTTGATGTTTCCACCGTTTTTGAAGATGATTTGTTAGTAAATTGAGAAAGCAAGAACTTTTGGAACATATTTTTGTGGATAAAGGTGGCTGAAACATGAATGACCTCCAAAATTTGGAGCTTTAAATGGTTGGCCAAGTCTTTTTATCTTGGATGTTATGAAGCATAATCTGGACTTTGCTGCGGAACCTTGGACATCAGGATTTATATGAAGTTTGACTGGGCGCAACCCCAAGCAGAATCAGGACTTTGCTGCGGGTGACCTTGGACATCAGGATTATATAAAGTTTGACTTTGCCACGACCACAAGCAGAATCTGGACTTTACTGCGGTGACCTTGGACATCAGGATTTATATGAAGTTTGACTGTGCCACGACCGCAGTGGCTGCTGGATGCAAGCCAATATGTGGTGTGGCCACCACAGTATAGACATGAGGTGCTTTTCCCACAAACACTTTTGCAGAGAATAAATAATAGGATAAGGGTTTCCTTTGCAATCTTCAGAGCAGGTCTGATTCATGACATGCAGAACCCCCTTGGTCAATTGGATTCATTGAGAAACGCAGGGATGAAAAGTAGATCCTAAAATGCGAACTGGGTAATTATGCATTGTATGGAGTACCCACAATCATTCCCATGTGGTTCTAGCAATAGCAAACTTCGTATCATATTATTACTGAGTCGCTTGTATTAGAATTGGCCTGTGTCAGGATGGATTTCCGTATGGGTTTTAGGGTTGTCTTTACTGGGGTCGAGCTATAACCCTATTGAGTATGAGGAGCTTTTATGGGAAGGCAGAAAATTGAACACAATTGTTTGTACTCTTTAAGCCAGAAGTATTTGCTATATTTTCTACTTTTCAGATCCCAAACTTGAGAGAATAAGGTTGAAATTTTGAAGGGGATGTTATTGTAAGTATAAAGAGGGAAGGTTGGTTCAGGATATAAGTTTGTTATGGGCTAGTAAGATAAATAGAGTGTGTTAGGGGAAGGAGGTCGTTTATCCTGTTATGTGTGTAGATTGAGCTTTTCTACAGTTTCTTTAAAATGATAAATCCTCTGAGAAAGATAATCCTTTTAAGAGAAGGAATAAGATAAAATTAGTGTTTTGGTTAGTAACAATTGGAATTAATGCTGTCGTTCCCCTTTCCCCTTATTTTTGTATTCATGCCCTGAGTATTCCCAAATGTCCAAACAAAGTTCATACTTACCTTGTGTTTTTTTTTTATCTCTATTGTCTTCTCAATAAACAGGCGACATTATAATTTAAAATTAAATTCTCGCGTAAACTCTAACTACTGAAATTGAGTTGTTTGATGCTATCTTCAGACTTCCTTTCAATTGGTGATTGATTGATGGATATGGATAGACAACCAATACCTGATCTAACTCTAGATGGAATATGACTAATAGATAAGTGTTTTTATGCTTAAAATCTGATTGTAATGTTTGAGGATCTAGTAGGTGTATTAGTCAGTGGTATAGTCTTTCTTATGCATATGCTCCGGGTATATTGCATGCATATTGTTTGGTAAGCTGAGAACAACAAAGAGGACATTGTTTGATAGGGTGTATTTGTACGATGAATTTGACTAACCAGGTTTATGAGTAAAGTCATTGCGATAACAAATCTGAGTACAACTTTGATTGAACTTCTTGATCGGTCGATTATGCATGACTGAATGTTAGGATGTATTAAAAACGGATTATGAATTGATACATTGATGTGGTACAATAAAGGAAATTTGAAAATGATATTAGTATGTCACATTCAGAGTGGGTCAGTGTGTCATAATCCAGCATTCATCAATCCTCATGCTCCATGAAGTATGATACTGTCAAATATCAATAGCGGGTGGTCCTTCGTCCAGTTGGGTGAGGTGCGGTCCACCATTTTATTCTTCTTCCCATCGTATTTGTTTTGACACCCCGACCACGTGATGACATTAGCTTGAGAATGTTTCACGCTCTTTCGTTGTTAAGATGGTAAGATCCTTAAAATTATTTATAGCCAAGTGGACTAAGAAATCATAATATATAAGCTGGATGTATGGTTCCAATGATGTGACGTTTTATTCCAAATATAGGAAAAAACTTTGTATGAAATTTATAGAGGAAAACATGAATTAGGACACTTATATAACTATTCTTAATCTTGTATTTCATTTATTTTATTATTACCAAAGTACAATGTCACCATTAAAAAGATTAAAAAAAAGAATCTTGTTTTAAAACTAGATGAGTGTTAAAATATAATCATTTTTCTGTCCTACGGTTGTTTCTGTTTTAATTGATGTCCAAATTTCAACAACTATAATGAGATGTTTCAAATTCCGGTATTAGATAATTAAAAGGAGGAAAAAAATATAAACCTTTTCAATATGTTTCAAATTCTAGAATTGAATAATGAAGAGACATGAAATACAAGTCCTCAGAGTTGCTAGTACAAAGTTGCAAATAATAGTATCCATAAAAAATTCTGAGAGGTGGTGGGGACTAGATATACATATACTTTCTCTTTACTTTTGTTTCATTGCAGTGTGGATAGGATTCCATACAAATAATATGATTCATGCTTTTCCATTTAGAAGTTAAAAGAGAATATCA